GGGGGGGGAGTTGATGGCGAGAGGGAAGGGGGGGTAGTTGATGGTGAGAGGGAGGAGGGAATACATAACTTCTGTCATTCCCTGATCGTCCAGTGTGGGCTCCCTGGTAATCCAGTGGACTCCCTGGTGGTCCGGTGGGGATATCCAGTCTGCAGCTTCGCTGTGTTGTGCAGAGCTGCAGCCCATGCATCTCACAAGACCCAGTCAAAGCGTTGCTGTGGTAACACGCGGCAACACTCTGATTGGCCAGATCTCGCAAGACACATGGTTTGTAGCTCTGCACACAGGGGCAGCCTGGAGGGGCCTTGCACATGGCGGCATACTGAACAAGCCGCCGGGCACCCTCCTGGTGTCGGGTCTTCTGTCACTGACCTAGGACCCAACACAGTCTGTCCTAAGGTGGTTTAGGCGGCCGCAAGGCCTTAGGCAGCAGTCTAAAACGCTAAATTAGAGAGCCGACTTTAATGTATATGGCGCAATTACTAAACTGGACAATAAAACACTGACTTCTCAGGTAGTATTACTCCTTCCATATCGATTTTAAATTAAATACAATGGCCCCACACATAAATCGCCAGCATGGTCAAGTCCATGGAGACAACAATGGGCGCTATTGTATAAATCAAGACCCTCACTCACTATGGTAACGCCTGTATTGGACTCTTCAACAACAATGTTCCTATAAATGCTGGAGCACCCAGATACGACCCCTAGAGGTTGAAAAGGGAGCACAGGGTCAAGCACTTACCTCCTGTCCAATTCCATCCCACGTGCCAGTTATCTTTACACGTATAGTCCCTCTTGCAGTCATTATACCAGTCCTCGCAGTCCTCTTGGCACAGGGGTACATCCAGTATCCGTTCCTTTCTCCAGGAACTGTCCACCTGGGTGGGAAACAAGCATCAACATGAGTTGGGTCCCTGAGGGCCTTGGTTACTACAGCAGGAGCCTGCAGCACTGTGTCTTAATGATACTACACTGTCCAAATGTGGAAAAGCTGCTCAAAATTGCCCTTGTAATATAGTTCGTCTGTACACCAGCATCTGCTAAAATTAGAAATTGTCATAAAAAGATCGTAGAAATCAAGAGTCCACTAATCATTCATTTAACACACGTACAGTGCAGCTACCACACTTTAAAAAAGCCTTTTTGTGAAAAAAAAAAAGTGTCTCTGGTTTGGTGGTCAAAAACTCTTAACTAATTTAGTTTTAATTGTGGGGGCACCTCTAAAAACTATTCTTGGTTTATCTGGTAAAAGTGCCGGTAAATGGGGATCCTGTTTCGAGAGATGCCAATGTTGGTTTATACTTTTCTTTACAAGTTTTGATTGACTACTAGAATTAAAAATAATTGGACAATTAAATGAATTCCGTTCTGTAACTGCATTTTTGGTTGGATTTAAAAGTCAAAGTTTTGTTGGATTTATAAATTTTTGAACATCTAAAAAGTTTTTGAAAGTGTCAGACTTAATAGCTGGTGCATATTTCAGACCTTTATTTGATCTAATGTTAAAGGAATATTGGCCAAATTAAAAATTCCTACCAGTTTTACCACTTTATTCTCTTTTCTGCATTTTTCTCCCTCCTCTGTATCCCCTTTTTAGAGGTCTCTTTTTGTCTTGGATTGGCGATTTAGGAACATTTGTCTTGGTCCTAAAAAATTGTTTGATTCAGTCTCCCTTCCTCTTTAGAGTTCCGAACTGCGAACTTATTAGAAGTGAAGTTCTTTGTTACATGGGTGATAGATTGTGATGTTGAAACCCCTGATTTCATAACTGGTGTGTTTCTCCTTTTCTTGTTAGTGACTAAAGTCTAACCTTTATCTTTAGGGGTCTTAGGTGAATTGTGTCTCCCTGTTTGGGGGTTGTCCTCCTGGTGGTAATCCGTATTAGATCTACCACGAGTTCCAATCCACCTGTTGCCCTGATTAGTCTTGTTGTTTCTTCGCGGAGTATGTGTATTAAATGAATGATTAGTGGACTTTTTTTACGACTATTCCTAATTTTATTTCCTGAAAGGTCTTTTTGATCTCTCAAATTTCTTCTTTTTTGTTTCTATGGTTTCTGTAATGTAGCCCCATGTAGCCAAGCGCAGCTAAGCGGAAAAAGGCCTTGACAGGGGTTAGGAGGCGGGCCTAGGAGGAAGTAAGCAAGGGAGTGGAGTTATGGGTAAGTGGGTTTGGTTATTTAAATGGGCAGCCATTTTAGTTAATTCATTTTAACTTCCTACCTGGTTAAGTTTGTGTTCGCTCCGGTGGGCACAGATTTGGCTTGGTAGGGTTTTTTCCTTTTTGTCTCCCTGCAGGGCCGATGGAGGAAGTGGAGCGACTGCTGGAGCGGATCCGGTCCGCGGCGAGGCACCAGGGGGCTGACTGGCTGAAGGCCCAGTTAGGCCCGGCCCTGGCGGCGGCGGAGGGCCAGGACGGCGGCGGACGACGGCCTGTTCGGGCCAGGAGGCCTCCGGAGCGGCTAAGCCCGGGTGTGGGACCCGGTGAAGACATCCCTGGTGGTCCGGGAGGCTCCGGTGCGGGCGGCAACAGGCCCGGCAGCCGCGTGGTAGAGGCCCCGCCTCCCCGCGAGCGGCCGGAGCCTAGGACCAGTGCCCGGCGCCGGGGGGACGGTCGGGACGGGGCCGTCGCGGCTGCCGGGTCGGACGGGGCCGGGCGGTCCCCTGGAGGAGCGGGCAGCATGGAGCTGCGGCCCGGGAGGGCGCGCGCCCCGTCGGAGGCGGAGATCGGCGGGGCCGGGACCGGGAGGACACGTGGCCGGTTCCCGGCCCCAAAGGCAAGTGCAGGGGGCTCCGGCCGGGGCCCCCCTTGGTGGGAAAAGTGCTGGGGGGGTCCTGTCAGGGGGCGGAGGGCGGAGGGCCCAAGTGGGGGGTGGGAAGGCCTCCCAGGGACCGTGGATGGGGAGGGCATAGGGGTCATAGGTGGGGGGAGTAGTGGTAGGGGTGGGGGGGCTGTGGGTGAGGAGGGACTGCTGGGCTCCCCCAGTAGGGGAAAGGGGGCCTCCTTGGGCTCTGGGGCTAGGCCGGTGCGGGTAGGGTCGGGTAGGCCTGGTTTAGGGGTTGGGGGGGCCAGTCTGGTTGAGGGGGGGTCTAGGTCCCCTTAGTCTGGGAGCCAGTTCAGGTGGGGGGTCGGGCTCTAGCCGGAGGGGTGAGCGTTTGGGGGTGCAGGGTAGTAGGGGGGGGGGTCCGGTTCAGGGTCCTGTAGTGGTAGTCCCTCTCCGGTTCGGGAAGTAGAGCCACGGGAGAGGAGGGGGAGGAGGGGGAGGTCCCGGCAGCGCCGCTCCAGGTCAGGGAGCTCGGGAGAGAGCGGGTCTAGCGTTCCCAGGGGTGGTCGGCGGGGACGTATGCCCGGGGAAGACAGGAGGAGCCGTAGCCCTAGGGGCTCCCGCACGCGGCGCGTGCAGGGGGCACAGTGGGAGGCTTTGGCAATGGGCAGGCGCTCCCAGGGTCGGGACGGGGGGGATGCGAATACTCAGGGCACCCTACCCAGGACTTCTTCTCCTCTTTCCAGGTCACGGAGCTGTTCCATATCGACACGGGCAAGGCACCGGTTTGGCTCCCCGGTTGGCGAGGTATCGGCGGGAGTCGCTCTCCCTGGACATCGGGCAGTCGACGACGCAGCCCCTGCCGCATCAGTTGCAGGGGGCTTGGCCGGTGAGTCTTGTGGGTCACTACACTCCAGTTCCTTGGTTAGCACACTGCAAGCACTGCTCCACTCGCTGGGGGCGGGGGGTGACACGGGGGGTGGCGTTGGTCGGGTTTGGGCCCCGGGGACGGAGGTCCCTGGTCCTAGTGGGGTTTCCGTGGGGCTTAGTTCGGGCGGGGACCTGGGGGTGGCGCCCGAGGCGATGGCGGCCGGGGGTGACAAGGCGGAACTGGCCGGGGGTATTCCGGATGCAGCCGAGGCAGCACCATACGTCTCGTTTGCGGGCCCCCTGGGGGTTCATCTGAAACAGGACGTGAAAGAGAAGCTCTGGAAAGGTGAGTTCTGCGAGATCTTCTCCCTGCTCCCCTTGGAGGACTTTATTGACCTCAAGGAGGAGGATAAAAAGGATGAAAAGAAGGAGGAGGAGGAGAAGAGGAAGCGGTATCGCAAGATTCCGAAATCCTTTGGCAACTGGTTACGGGCGTTTTGCGTGCTAGCCAGCGTGCTGGGGGAAAAATCGCCGGGATTATGCTCGTCCCTGTTCTGCTACCTGGACGGCATTTGGGAAGCATATCGCACCTATGGGGGGCTGGCATGGTGGCGCTACGATGAACAGTTCAGGCAGCGACTGGCGGCTAACCCGGGGATGAGGTGGGATCAGATGGATCTGCCCCTCTGGATGAAGCTAATGATGGCCCAGAAGGCGCAGCCCTTTCCAAACTCGGCCGGCGCGAAGGGGCAGTCCGCCTCGTCGGCCGCTTTGCAAAAGGGCTTCTGCTGGCTCTACAATGAGGGCCAGTGCAAATGGGGAAAGCATGAGTGCTCCGGTTGCGGGGGTGCTCATGGGCTCAATCGCTGTTTCAAAAAAAAGGGAAGGCGGGAACAGCCGGAGCGGCTGCCGGGGCCGGAGGGAATGCTTCCCCTGCCCCGGGGCTTCACGCCGGTGAGGCTAGACGCGATGGAGCCGTGGCTAAGCCGCTACGGTAACAGGACTGATGCTTCGGTACTTAGGGAAGGCTTCGGGCGGGGTTTCTTTATTCCCTTCCGGGAGCAGGGGGGTTTGGGGGGGTTGCGCAACCTGAAGTCGGTGGCGGATTTCCCGGGGTGGTACGGGAGAAACTAGACAAGGAGGTTGCGCTGGGGCGGATGGCGGGCCCGTTTGCGGTGCCCCCATTGGAGGACCTACGGGTTTCCCCTCTTGGGGTGGTGCCAAAGAAGGAGCCGGGGAAATTCCGGCTCATTCACCACCTCTCCTACCCAAAAGGTATGCATCATTCGACCGGGCGGTCGAGCTGGTTAAACGGGCCGGGCATGGGGCACTTATGGCAAAAGTGGATATTGAGGCGGCGTTTCGGCTGCTGCCAGTCCACCCGGACTGCCACCACCTGTTGGGATGTTTTTTCGAGGGAAAATATTTCGGGGACTTGTGCCTCCCTATGGGCTGTTCTATTTCATGCTCCTATTTCGAGAAATTTAGTACTTTTCTCGAATGGGTGGTGCGGGTCGAGGCGGGGAACCGTTCGGTGGTGCACTACCTGGGCGATTTCTTTTGCGTGGGGCCGGCTGCCTCCTCGGCATGCCAGCAACTGCTTAGGACCGTGGAATGGGTGGCGGGCCACTTTGGGGTGCCGCTGGCAGCGGATAAGACGGAGGGCCCGACGACGTGCCTTAGTTTCTTGGGGTTAGAAATAGATTCTATCTTGGGTGAATGCCGGCTGCCTCGGGACAAGTTGGAGGGGCTCAAGGGGGCGGTAGCTGCGGTGACCGTTGAGCGCAAAGTTACGCTGCGGCAACTGCAGTCGCTAATAGGGATGCTGAACTTTGCATGCCGTGTAATTCCTATGGGGAGGGTTTTCAGCCGCAGCCTGGCGGCTGCTACGGCAGGAGTTCGATCCCCGCATCATTTCATACGGGTGTCAGCAACCATGAGGGCTGATTTGGGCGTGTGGGATGCCTTCCTGCAGAATTTCAACGGGGCCAGCCCAGTGTTTTTAGGCGGAGTAAGTGTGTGAGTTGGAACTCTTCCACCCCGGATGCTTGGTGGAAAGGTAATGAGCCGGGAGGCCTACTTGGCGGGGAGATAGATACTTGTGAGCCCCGTGGCTGAGCATGAAGTCCTAGCCCAGTCATGCGCAACCTGGCTTTTCTGGAATTATTCCCGTTGGTCGTTGCAATGGCACTATGGGGCGAGGGGCTCCAGGACCAGAAAGTGGTCTTTTTCTCGGACAACATGGCGGTGGTGCATGCGGTGAATAATCAATCGGCTGCCTCTAAGCCGGTGGTTAGGTTGCTGCGGCGCTTTGTGTTGATGTGTATGTCACGGAATGTTGTGTTTCGCGCGCGTCATGTCCCTGGGTACCTGAATGAGGTGGCTGACGCTCTGTCTCGTTTTCAGTGGTCCCGATTTTGGACGATGGCGCCAGGAGCATTGAAGATAGGGGAGGCTTGCCCGGACGAGATATGGCAGCTGGGAGCGTCCTGCTTGGGGGACTTGTGAAGGCTTCACTGGCACCGGCCACATGGGCCTGCTACAGTAAGGTCTGGGACTCTTGGGAACGATCATTAGACGGGTTGGAGCATGGCTTACGTGGGGATGCGCTGCGGGACGCTTTTCTATGGTACACCTGCCAATTGCTGGCAAAAGGGGCGTCCCCGGCAGTGGTCGACAGGTCCATGGCGGCAATGGCGTTCTGGTTCCAATAGCGCGGGTCGGAGGATCTGACTAAGACCTTCCTAGTACGGCAGGCGCTGAAGGGTTATCGAAAGGGCCGCAGGACCTGTGACTCTAGGCGCCCGGTGTCGGTACGGGTATTGGGGGATCTGGTGGGTCGGTTGCCGGAAATTTGTTTCAACGGGTTTGAGGTCTCTCTGTTCAGAGCGGCTTTTCTCTTGGCATTTTTCGGGGCGTTCCGCGTGGGGGAGCTGGTGAGTGCCAGTAGGGTGGTGCCCGGGGGTCTGCAGGCCTCCGGGGTTCGTGTTTTGGAGGGTAAGGTGGTTGTGCATCTGGGTAGTTCTAAGACGGACGTCCGTGGCGTGGGTAGGGACGTTACGCTATGGGCTCTGCCGGGCGCAGTATTGTGCCCGGTGGCTGCAGTGGCGGAGTACATGGCTCGGAGGCCGGCGGTAGGGGGTTCCTTCTTGGTACATGCGGATGGTTCTTCCCTGTCCCGGTTTCAGTTTACAAAGGTTTTTCGGGCCGGGCTAGGTAAGTTGGGGCTTCCGGCCGGACGTTTTGGTACTCACTCCTTTCGCATTGGGGCGGCCACGGAGGCTGCACGGTTGGGATTAGGAGATGAGGTCGTGAAGCGCATAGGGAGATGGGAGTCGGTGCGGTTCCGCTCATATGTGCGGTTGGGCTTATTGGAATAATAAAAAAATAAAAAAAAAATAAAAAAAAAGGTACATGTCTGGGTAGGTATATGTTTATATATGTGTATGTATAGATATGGTGCGGGGGTGGACATGGACGGAGGAGTCCTCTTTTGCCTTTCCCTCATGCTTGTTTTCTTCTTCTCCCCAGGACGGGTTGCTTGGATTGTGGGACATTCTTTTGTCTTCTGGGCGGAGAGGAGGGCCGCAGCTCGAATGCAGGGCCAGCAGCTGGGCTTTCCGAAGGACCAGTTGACAGTCCGATGGTTTGGGTACAGGGGATTTTGCTGGGGGGAGGTTTGTGGGGCAATGTTTAGGATGGTGGTGGGGGGGAGGACACCGGACATGGTGGTCCTTCATGCTGGGGGTAACGACTTGGGCCTCACGCCACAACGTCGGTTGGTAAAGTGGATGAAGCAGGACATCAACAAATTGAGGGACCTGCTTCCGGGGGTTATGTTAGTGTGGTCGGAGATTGTCCCAAGGCGTCGATGGCGGCACGCGCGGGATCCAGTGGCGATTGATCACTGCAGGAAAAAGGTGAACAGCTTAATGGCGAGCTTTGTTAGGAAGATGGGAGGTGTGGTGGTACGGCACAGCGAGTTGGAGGAGGGGTTGCCGGGGTACTACCGCTCGGACAGGGTTCACCTTTCGGAGGTAGGTTGGGATCTGCTCAACTTGGGTTGGCAGGTTGGTATGCAGCGGGCGCTGTTTCTTCGGGGTGGCGGAGCTCAGACGGCTTAAGGGGTCAAGGTCTGAGCTTATGGCGGGACGGGGAGCTGAAGGAGAGGAAATAGGCTCCCCAGGATGAACGTAATGGAAAACAAACAAGTGGTGGTCATTGGTGGTTGATAGGTTTCGAGTCCTGTCGGTGGCTCAGAACCTTGTGGGGTAGGGGTATCCGGGTATACCCCTGCCGTGGTTAATGGATGGTTGGCACTTTACATCGATTGGAATAATGTTGATGTATGTTATATATATATGTTTATTTATATGGGGGTCATTGCCCTTTATATGTTAATGGAAGGAATAGGATGCGAGGGCGGAGTATGGGAGGCAATGACCCATGTTTACTTGTTAAGTTATTATTATGATTATTATTGTTATTATTATTGTTTGCTAAATAAAGCTGTGGACATATTTCCCCATATCCTCTAGTATGTGTGTTATTGGGTTGGGTTATGGGGTGGTTGTCCTGGATTCCGACTGCCCAAAATGGCGACTATACACCTGTCATGTAGCCCCATGTAGCCAAGCGCAGCTAAGCGGAAAAAGGCCTTGACAGGGGTTAGGAGGCGGGCCTAGGAGGAAGTAAGCAAGGGAGTGGAGTTATGGGTAAGTGGGTTTGGTTATTTAGATGGGCAGCCATTTTAGTTAATTCATTCTAACTTCCTACCTGGTTAAGTTTGTCCCACCCACCCTCCCTGTTTTGTTATGTGTGGTTTTGTCCCGTTTTTTCACAGCGGCGGGACGGGGAGCTGAAGGAGAAGAAATAGGCTCCCCAGGATGAACGTAATGGAAGACAAACAAGTGGTGGTCATTGGTGGTTGATAGGTTTCGAGTCCTGTCGGTGGCTCAGAACCTGGTGGGGTAGGGGTATCCGGGTATACCCCTGCCGTGGTTAATGGATGGTTGGCACTTTACATCGATTGGAATAATGTTGATGTATGTTATATATATATGTTTATTTATATGGGGGGCATTGCCCTTTATATGTTAATGGAAGGAATAGGATGCGAGGGCGGAGTATGGGGGGCAATGACCCATGTTTACTTGTTAAGTTATTATTATGATTATTATTGTTATTATTATTGTTTGCTAAATAAAGCTGTGGACATATTTCCCCATATCCTCTAGTATGTGCGTTATTGGGTTGGGTTATGGGGTGGTTGTCCTGGATTCCGACTGCCCAAAATGGCGACTATACACCTGTCAAGATTGTTTCTAATTTCTTTTTGAGCTAATCCATTAATTGGACACATTGGTAGCTGTAATGTATGTAAAGTAACAGGTCCTCCCTATGGAAAAATCTCAAGTTTTTATTCTGTCGTAACTAAGGAGTAATTTGACATAAAAGGAATGCATTACATGTCACTCAAAACAAATGATGTACCTACTAAATTGCCCCTGTGAGCTACAGTATGTGGGGCAAACTAAAAGAATGTTAAGAGTAAGGTTGAATGAACATTACACAACATGAAAGAAGGTTTGAAAAACACTCTGTATCTAAACATTTTGCAGACCATCATGCAAATAATCCAGGATGTTTGAGCTATTGTGGGATTGAAAGGGTTACTATCCCATGGAGAGGTGGTGAATTGGTTAAAAAGTGTTAAAAAAAAAAATATATATGTTAAACATATGATAATCCTTCTAAGAATATATCCAATTTTATTTAAATATTAACATACAACTTTTAGACATAATGAGGTGTAGATATTAACTTGTGGAGTGATACAACACATGAATTATATCGAACATCTATATATCCACACAATATTTGAGTATGTACGGAGTCTTTAAAGTATATTATTAATGGTTTTTTGCCAAGTCTACATTTACATTGATATGAAATTTTCAATGAATAAGTTTCTTATATAAATAATGATGTCCTTATATGTTTACATCTACAAGGTATTTGCATATGTGTTTTTTTTTTTATGTGAAAATATTTACTAACTTTACGGTATACAAGAGAAACAGGAGCACTTTTCCTGGAAAGAAAAATATTTTATTACAACCTGGCACTTTAAAAGTGGTCTGATGCGAACCTATATAAGACTAACTTATGAAGCCGCGCACTATCTTGAAAAAGCCCAGGTTATTAGTGCGAAACGCGTTGAAGTGCTAGCGGCTTCTGTTTGAAAAGGGTGAATACGAAGGGATTGCCGACACCGGTCCGCATACTTGGCGTCTCTCCAAAAGCAACTGTCAGCTGCACAGTAGGGAGATTTAAGTCTGACCGAGAAGATAAGGACGGGCAGTAACATCTATTCCATTCGTATAAAACCCATGTTTGTTTGTGGTGTCTTGGCAACAAGTACCACCATTAGTCCATGTAAGGGTTCGCTTTGGGGGGGGGGAGAGGTTTTTTTACTTTTTTAATAATTAAAAACAGTGTTGCACTATGAGGATCTTTTTAAGGTCCCATCTGTTGCGGCATACATTGTATCCCAAAGCAGTGGATTTTACCGATGTGGCGAGATTAACCCCTGCAATACCAAAAGGACTCTGGGACAATATTATATATTTGTTTTAGGAAGAACACATATTGACCAAATAATTGTGGAGAATGTTTAGGTTTTGTATAGAACTGACATTTTAATGCAATAAGTGGTTGTTATTTTTTTCTTCCCCACTTACTACTTTTAGGGTGCCCAGCATATAACTGTGGGCTTCTCTGATATAGCGCTAACACAATTATTAATAGATTGTATGTGGAAATCGAATGTTTCCAGTGTATTTTTAGCTGCTTTTTTATTATTATTTACATATTGTTTACTATACTGTTTTTTACTAAGTGATTGCGCGCCCTTATTTTTATACATCTATATAGGATTAACGATAACATGACCCTAGGTCCCAGTGGTTTGACATTGGCCCAGAACTATGAATTTGCTTGGTTCTATCCACTATCTTCATGTGAAGAAAAAAAATGGGGGTCACCAATCCAATAACTTACCTAGGGGACTGTAGGATCTTAATCCTTTTCAACCCACTAAACAACTCCTATTTTGCGTGGCCCAAGGGTCAGTAAAGTCAGGGTAGAAATGAAAACATTAATACAGCGTAGGCACGTGGCCACAGCGATACCATAGAACGAAAGACAGGAAGGCATGGACATATGGTGGGAATACAGTATAAAACCCGCACTCCGATTACTGCACACACATGAAACATGACAGGGGCTCACCGCCTGGATCCAAGGCCCCAAATTAGGGGAGCATTCGTAGAAACAGGTGTCTTGGATGAAGTGTTTCTTGCATTCCGGGGACATTGCTCCACAGTGGTTCCAGTCAAAATTGTAGAGGTAGGACTGGTCACTGTGCGCCTCTTGGCTGATTGCTGGCGTACAACAGGACTTCTCCTTCCAAGGGGTGCACTGGGAGCAGAAAAGGATCAACAATTAACAGCTTATGGATTACACGGTTTCCCTGAACATGGTCCCCTGTCCCTATACTCCCGCTCATGTTGTACTATAACTCCAGCCATTAAGTTATGGTATATTTCGCTCATTGCTGTCCTATGATACACAGTGCAGGAGCAGTTATACTATGTGCATCACTCAGAGGTTCCCCTCCTCCTGAAAGGCATTTCCTGTGTGAGAGGCTGTTCGTGTTCAGATGATGCCTGGTCTGATTGGGTAACCCCATGCACCAGTCAGATCATGCATTAACGCATACCCCCGATGCATTATCTGATTGGTTCTAGAAGATGTTAGCACTCACCCTAAACAGACCAATCAGATCATGCATCGGGGGTATGCGTTCATGCAGGGCTGCAGCACTGCCTGGGCCGGCGCGTCCATGAGCGTGCAAGATATGAGGGATCAGCAGGAGGGAAGTGCACGGTGCTCCCTCCAGTCAGTCCCTCAGTGTAGCATGGCCATGCCTCGGTGCGGTTCGCGAGGATCCGTTTCCTGTACCTGACCAGACTCACAGGAAGTACTCTGAGTGAGCACGACCGGGTACAGGAAAAAGAAACTCCTGTACCGCGGACCGGAGCTCTGCCACGCTACACAGGGTATGAGGAGAACAGAGAGAGAGCGCGCAAAAGAGAAAAAGAGCGCGCGAAAGAGCGAAAGAGAGCGCGCGAAAGAAAGAAAGAGCGAAAGAGAGCGCGCGAAAGAAAGAAAGAGCGAAAGAGAGCGCGCGAAAGAAAGAAAGAGCGAAAGAGAGCGCGAAAGAAAGAGCGAAAGAAAGAGCGAAAGAAAGAGCGAAAGAAAGAGCGAAAGAAAGAGCGAAAGAAAGAGCGAAAGAAAGAGCGAAAGAAAGAGCGAAAGAAAGAGCGAAAGAAAGAGCGAAAGAAAGAGCGAAAGAAGGAGCGAAAGAAGGAGCGAAAGAAGGGAGGATTTTGTGTGGGATTGTCTGTGTGTATTGTACGGATTGATTGGTTGTATTTCAAAACCCTGTGGGCAGTGCTATGTTTGTGGATTGTGAATAAAAGGCTGTATGTGCCAGTACAGTCAGTTCTACTTCACCCTCAATTTGGAGTGCCGTCTCTTATTGAGGGAATCTGCTACAAAGGATTGCTATGCTCTCCATACTCTCTTGCTATAATCACTGAGCTCTTGTAAGAGCTTGTTCCGGTTTTTGCTCTCTGAAGGAGTCTACGGTGGTTATGGTGTCTGCTGGAGTGCTTGGAGCCCTCAGGAAGCACTAGGAGCATCCTTCAACTGAGGTACCCAGTCAGTGTGCCAGGTGATCCGTTACAGTGGATATGTACAAATGGCTTTTGCACAAGCCGAACTGCTAATACTTTGCATACTGCTTCTGCCAAGATGAAAAAAAAAAAAAGACACCTTGCATCCCTTTCACACAACCAGAAACACACAATGCATCCCTTCATCAGAGCCCATCATCACCATCCTCATCTGGTTGTAAGTAGGCAATCTGGTATGTTATTAGTGACACTAATCTGTAGATTACCTCTACATTAAAGGGACAGCTTAATGAAGTGGTTCTGGTATCTATAGCCGGTCCCTGCAGGCGTTCGTTCATATGGGTGGGGCATTATGATGTCACATGGGGGGGGGGGGCAATTTTTATTTTGCCTAGGGCGGCAAAAATTCCTTGCACCGGCCCTGCATTAATGGATGATCTGATTGGCTCACCAAAGGGTGAGCTTTGTGACATTGGAGGAACTGGGACAGCACTGAGTTTTACACCCTCTATAACTGCTCCAGCAGCTCTCCTATAAGGCTGGCAATGTCCAGGGCTCCTGGTACTCACCTCTCCTCACCAGCTTACCCAAGCTTCAAAGAGGCACGTTTTAGTGTTATAAACAGTCACCCCCAACAGGACATGTTCCTACTCTACCTAGTGAGCAATCTGGTCCTGTACGGGAGGATGTTAGATGTTTAGAAAGGTCTCACCTGTCCGTGTAAGTTGTCTTCGGGTCCCGGTTCAGTTTTCTGATGCGTCCCATTCATGCAGACATC